GAGTGTATGCAGTTCATATGCAAATTACTTTGAACTAGTACCCTCTCTTGTCAGTATTTATAAAGGTTTAACCAGCATTGTCAAAACTTGTCACCAGCTTGTCCCTTATTCGATTCCAAATCTGGTTTTGTCATTCACCGTTTGAACGCATGTCATCTTTCACAAAATAAATATGCATAATGTATTTCCTTATTTTTTTTTTTAATTTTGATCAAAATATGTAACGGAAAATGATTTCCATATACTGTAGAATACTTTATTTTTGCTTGGGATTTATTTTCGCTATTTTCGCGGAAGGGATGATTCTGTGAAAATAAAATCCAGTGACTATACTTTTTTTCCTGTATTTCACATTCAACTCATCAAAAATCAGTGAAAATACATTCCATACAGAACGCCCAAAAAGCCTTTTCAGTAAAAATTAATTCCAGTGAAAATAAAGTATTCCACAGTAGTCGATAATTAACAAGGAAATTACAAAAAATACATGAAATTGTATAAAATGTTGCAACAACTTTTTGGCGGGAAAAATTCCGGCGTTCAACCGGTTATAGGCTGTTGATCGTAAGCAATATTTGATCTGAATAGATAAGCAGTTTTTTGGTTAAAAAACAATTTTGATGGATGCTATGACTGGGTTGAGATGCCAAGTCTTAAGCTTGACGTGGTTACTGTAGACAAATAAATTGTGGTGATAGATGAATCATATGCTGGTTAACAAAAATACTGACAATACATTGCATTAACATAAATGTAAATCGGAGAGAATTTACAGAGGGCGCTGAAGTAAAGCGATCAGAAAATCATTCGTCTCCCCATCAATTTTCCTTGCAACATTGCAATATCCCTTGGAACCTCAACAAGTCAACACTCTTGGACACAATCAGTCTCAAAATGGATTTATGAATTTTGATTCAAAAGTCAGATTTTGAGGGAAATAATTTTGTAAAATTTGAAAATGAATTATTGAATCGTACGAGCATTCTACAATTAAACACAGTGAATTATTACTCGATCAAAACCATTTCATTTCAAATTCAAGCACTTCCATCGATATGCAAATATGGGACTTTAAATATGCAAATTAGTGTTGTTAATTTCAAACAGTTGAAGACAGTGCCATAACAAACACTGCTCGCAACGTTCCAAGAAAGATAGGCAGAGAGAGATTTTCCAATCAGTGTATAAACACCTGCTGTAAAGATCAATCAAATTTCACAGTTTTTTTCTTATCAACTCACATTTAACTGTATGTGAACAATGATTAATGTTCAGAAGAAAAGAAACAACTCAACTTGGACAAAACACAGTCCAGTATTGTTTCAGAAAATCTGTTCATGTCTATATTGTTTATGTGCGAATTAATTATTTACATCAACCAGTGAAACTATGCTTTTAGTGAAAGGAACAAAATTTTTTTAAATTTTTATTTTCCCAAATTATTTTGGGTTATTGCCAAAATGTTTCTTATTCCCCTCTCAAAATGACCATGGAATAAAAAAAAATAGCATAATTAATGTTTAACACAAGATATTGTAAAAAATCATTCACACACACTGTAAAACAAAAATGACATGTTTCTGAAAACAGATTCTTTGACACAAAACTGGACAGTGTTAGGATATTAATTTGGAGGAATAACAGGGAGGGAGGTATAATAGGTCAGAGGTACAGGGTAGAATT